ATCCCTGCTCTGGCGGAGCAGGTTGGGGGACGTGGACTCTCCCGGAAGGCGGAGGGAAGCCACAGCCGCACTGCAGACAGGGCCCCACCGGTGGCATCGCCCTCAGCAAGGCTGCTTGGCTGCAGCCGGAGACGGACGGGAGCAGCAGGCGGGTCGTCCCGTGGCCGAGGGGACACGCTGGCTCGGTCTAGGGCTGCGCAGTACGCAGGGAGCTGCGAGGGTTTGCGTGCCGTGGAGGAGGAGCAGCCAGCGGGACGGGGAGGCTGGGCGAGGGCAGCCTCAGCTTTCTCCTCGGGCCGGCAGAGAAGCAGGTTGGGAGGGAGGACGGGGCCGCCGCGCGGCAGCTGGGCTGAGTGTGCACACGGGGAACACACGGCCAAGGGGACGGCCTGGGAAGGCCAGGCGTGCACAGCCGGCCGAGCAGAGCAGGGAGCAAGTCCTGAGGCACCGCCAGGGGCGTCCTGCGAGGTGACAGCACACGGCGGGCTGCTCGTCAGAGATGCTCGGAGCGTCCCCGTCCCCTCGTCCAGCAGGGGTGGCAGAGAAGTGACTTGGCCCAGAGCACCACCTGCGTCAGCCCCCGGGAAGCCCTGCCTTCCGATGGCTGGAGAAGGGAGTCTGCCCCTGCCCTGCCCACTTTCTCTCCCTCCTAGGCGCAGGAGGAGGCGCGACGGAACAGGCTGATGAGGGACATGGCTCAGCTGCGGCTCCAGGTAGGAGGCGGGGCCCGCGCGCCTGCTCTGGGCCTGGTTGTTACGTAAGCAACAAGGCCCGCTCGCGCATCTTCCCGCTCTGCACCACCGTGCGCTCGGCTTCTCCCCTGTAGACTTCCTGTTGCTCATTCTTCACTGAGCCCGACGGCCCCTCCCTGCCCGCACTTCTGCCTCTTTCTCTTCCCCTTAGTCTTCCCTGCCGTCCGCCTCCCCGCTCCCCGGCAGCAACAGGAGGCGCTGCACGGGAGTCCGCCTGAGCCCCACCCTTGCCCTGCCAGGTGCAGGACCCTCACACGGCGCCCCCTCCCCCCCCCGCCCCGCACTCTCTCTCCAGCTCGAAGTGTCTCAGCTGGAGGGCAGCTTGCAGCAGCCCAGGGCCCAGTCGGCCATGTCTCCCTACCTCATCCCCGACACCCAGGCCCTCTGCCACCACCTCCCGCTCATCCGCCAGCTGGCCGCCAGCGGCCGTTTCATCGTCCTGATACCGAGGACAGGTAGGCACATGGGGCGCCGAGCGTGCGGCTGAAATCCAGTCCGGAGGCCTTGGTAGGGGCCCGGTCTGCATGCAGCGACCTGGTCCGGTTCTGCCTGCTCTCTGAACCCTGTCACTTTGCGAAGTGGTAGACCCTGGCTCACAGGACAGCGGGGAGGGACCTGAGTGATGGTGGCCTGCTAGGGCCTTTGCGGGGAGCCATGGTCCCTCCTGCCGCGCGCGCCCCAGGTCACGGCGGTCTGAACCCATCTGTGCTGTGCTTCCCCGCCTGCCTTCGCCCCCAGTGATCGATGGCCTGGATTTGCTGAAGAAGGAGCACCCCGGGGCCCGGGACGGGATACGTTACCTGGAGGCAGAGTTTAAAAAAGGAAACAGGTGAGTGCAGGCCTGGCCGGAGCCGCACAGCACCGACGTGAGCTCCTGGCACCCTGTGGGTCCGACACACGCAGCCCCTGCCCAGCTGCTGAACGGAGGCTGCTGCAGGGAGCCAGGAGCCGTTTGGGGCACACCTGTGATCAGCCCCCACGGGGACAGGGAGCAGCCCAGCACAGCCGCCATGTGTGGCCTGTGGCAGGGGGAGGGCTGGGCAGTGGGCGTGGGCAACAGGGAAAAGCTGCCCCGCCCGCATCTGCCCTGGCCTGGCCGGGATGCTGCACAAAGCCCGCTTGTTTGAACCTCGTCTCCAGGAGGGCCCGGCTTGAAAAGCATCTGCTGCTTCTCCCCTGGGAGGAACCAGAGGACTGATGTTATCAAGAGGAAAAGCGAGCTGGGCCCGGCAGCCAGGAAGCGACTTCGGGATGGCTGCAAACAGGGCTGGGGTGGCCGAGACGTGCCCCCAACCCCTCCTGCAAAACCGGGCTCTCAGGGCCACAATGGCCTGCTTTGTATAAGGGCCCGCCCCATCCCCGCCACCGCCTCCACGCTCGTGTCTCCTTTGCAGGTACATTCGCTGCCAGAAGGAGGTGGGAAAGAGCTTTGAGCGCCATAAGCTGAAGAGGCAGGATGCAGATGCCTGGTAAAATTCCAGCCTCCCCCCGGAACCCCAGGCAGGTCCAGAGCGCTGAGGCGGCCGGCACGGGTGGCCTCGGTGGGGGGGGCTGTGCTCTAGCACCGCAGCCCCACCTCTGCGGAGAGGTGCGGTCCCTGGCCCCAAGACGCTCTGGTGCAGCTGCGACGTCACTCAGCATGCCTTTGCCTGCTCCCTGCGGCTCATCTCCAGGGCCACCTGCCAGGACCCACCGCTGCTGGCCGCCTGGCGCCCTCGGGGACCCTCTCCTCAGTGCTAATGCTGGCTCTTGCCCCCCCCCCCCCCAACCAGGACCCTCTATAAGATCCTGGACAGCTGCAAACAGCTGACTCTGACCCAGGGGGCAGGGGAAGAGGACCCGAGTGGCATGGTGACCATCGTCACGGGCCTTCCACTGGACAACCCCAGTGCGCTGTCAGGCCCCATGCAGGTAGGTCCAGGGTGAGACGGGGGCGGGGCACAGCAGGGAAGAGTGGCCCCAGTAGACCCAAGTCTCACCCTCTAGCAGCTGTCCCTCCCCTCTCCCCGCATCCCTCCCCCGTGACTTGTCCCACAGTTCAGGAGGTCAGGCCGTCTGCCATCTTTCCTCTGCCCACTCTACAGGCAGCCCTGCAGGCCGCTGCCCACGCCAGCGTGGACATCAAGAACGTTCTAGACTTCTACAAGCAGTGGAAGGAGATTGGTTGAGACAGACTCCCCGGGCCCAGCAGTGGGGCTGACTCCAGATCTCTCCTGCCCTCCCTGGCAGCCAGGACCACGCCTGTAGTCATCCCACCACACGCACGCACAGGAAGGAAGCCCGGCTGCAGAGGCTGCGGGGAGGGCCCAGGAGCCGCTGGGAGGGTGGGGTCCCCTGTTGCCACGACCACGACGTCAGGAAAGAGGAAAGTCTCGGAGCAGGAAAGGCCGGGCCCCTGGCCAGCCTTCCTGCCGCAGCCCTCCTGCTGTCCCCGGGGGCAGGGGGCAGGCGCGGGGGTCTGCGCTGCACTGGAGGGGTTCCTGGACCTCTGAGGGGAAGGCACAGCAGAAGGGGCCCCTCCTCGCCCAGGATGTGGGCTGGCCCAGCCGGGAGTTTGGACCCTGCAGGCCCTGGGGAAGAGTTGGGTGATCCCAGGTGTCGGCGGTCTCTGCAAACCCTTCCCCTCCTCAAGGACCACCCCTCTTCCTTTCATCTCCCCTCGCGGGGCAGAGCAGCTCTGGAGCCGGCCATGGGGGTTCTTCTGGAAGGAGGGCCGGGCGCCGCCTCCTGCCGCAGGGGCCGCGCACGCAGTCCCCCCTGGCTCCCTGTTCCCCTGTGTCAGGCGCCGGGGCAGGAGCGGGCCCCAGCTGGGGCTGCAGGCAGGCCGGCCTGTATGCCCTCAGGCCCCTGGTGCGTGCTTTGCGCCTTGGCTGTGGTGCGAGGACCGAGCAGGGCGCCCGTGAGGGGAGAGCACAGCTGAGGCCACCACTCCCGGTACCACCTCGGGAGGGCCAAAAGCCAGGGCCTGGCAGGTGTGCCGTGGGCAGCAGAGGGGCAGCCCCTGGAAGCTGGCGGGGGCACTTTGTCCTTCCCCAGGGGGGCTGGGCCTGGGCCTGGCTGTGGGAGGGTGGAGGTGATGGAGGGAGCAGAGATCATGATGTGCTCGGGGCAGTGCATGGCGCACCAGCAGAGCTGTTGGGGGAGGCTTTGGCCATGGCTTCGTGGCCCCTCAAGCACTGGCTGGGGGCTGGGGCTGGGGGTGCTCTGCTCTGCTGCCCGCGCCCCAGCATGAGCCCAGCTCACAGCTGTGTTGAGAGGGGAGCTGGCGGCCTGCCTCCCTCCTCTGAGACGACACATCTGGGAAGACCCAAGGGGCTGGGGGTGACCCCACGCCCCCGTTTCTAGCAGAGACTGAGACTAAAGCATCCTTAATAAAGACGCCCGAGCCCGAGCCTGAGCCTGTCTCGTGTCTGTGCAGACGCTCCGCCGGTTGGGGCCAGGGGAGGCGTTGCTGCCACGCGTGCGGGACGGCATCCTTGACGTGGCTGGGCACCAACAAGAAAAGTGCCGTGAGGGGAAGCCCTAGAAGTGGTTTCCGGAAGGACAGACGTTCCAGTTCCTGGGCCTGGGAAGCCAGGCGGTGCCTTCCTGGGGGTGGGGGACAGCTGCTGCTGCCTGGGCCTAGCTGCTGCTTCCTCCTCCTGGGGTCTCAGTGGGCTTCCTGCCGGCTCAGATGGTGTCGGAGGGCAGAGAAGCTTGGAGATCCTTGGAATTGAACCAGCATTTACCAAAGGCAGCTTCCTCTGTGCTCCAACCCGCGCGGCCAGCCTGGAGGAGCAGGGGTCTGAAGGCGGTGGGAATGGGCTGGCCTGGACTCCCAGGAGAGCCTGGAGCCAGGCACAACCACTTCCTGGCCTGCACCCCTATCCTCTTCGAGCCAGCCTGACACAGTGGGGCTGGGTCTGGCCCTGGGGGCTGGCTGTGTGCAGGAGGCCGAGTGAGCTGCCTGCTAATGGGGCTGGGCCACCCTGTGCTGCTCCCTGGAGGCTGGACAAGGCTGGGATTGTTCCCTGGCTCCCCTTTGTCTCCCCACTCCCGCCTAGGCCTGGCCCGCCTGCCCGGCCATTCTGCTCTTTGTCCGACAGCCTGGCTGGCTGGAGCCTGGGACTCTGCCCGTGGAGCCCCTGGGGCCTGCCGACCCCTGGCTCTGGAGCACCCATCGCGCTGTGGGTAAGGAAGCGCACCTGGGGCTCGGCGGCAGCTCTTCCGGGGAGACAGGAAAAACTACCTGCTCTTGCCCCTATTGCCATGGCAACGCACATTTCCCACTCTGCTGCTCAGGGAAGGGACCCCAGCATCTTCCTCTCGCACTCTTCTAGGCTGCTAGGCAGAGCGGCCAGGACGGGCAAGACGGCCCCCTAGTCCCGCCCCTGGGAGGGGCGTGCAGAGACCAGGCCCCAAGTTTGCCTGTGCCCAGCAGTGTCCCCAGCACCCAGGCGAGGGGCGGGAGGACCCCCAGCTGGGGCAGAGGGAGCAGTGCGCGCGCGCACAGCACTGCCGACAGGAAGAAGGCGGGGCAAGGCCGTGGAGTTGCTGGAAAGTTTTGGCCTGAGGAGGTGGAGGGAGTGTCCTGTTCCCCCTCCTCTTGGGGCGGCACCGCCCGCCTGGCTGGCCCAACCCCTGCGTTTGTGCCAAGGAATGTGCCGGGAGAGGCGGCCGGAGAGGCGGGTGGGGCAGCAGAGCCGCAACCACCGGAGGCAGCGCACAGGTCCGGGGCTAAGGGGCACGGGGCTCCGGAGGGGAAGGGGGCACCAGTGCAGTCCTGAGAAGTCGGGCATCCCCCTAATTCCTCACCCCACTGGCCGGCGTCCAGCTTCTCTAGGAATTTTCCCCGAGGGCCGAGAGCCTTTCCGTGCTCAGCTCAGGCACCATGGGCCAAAGCGCTTTTTGGTGGGGTGGCGGAACCTGGCCTCCCGCACCGCCTGAAGGAGGCAGGATCTCCCCGAGAAAGAACCGGGGCTGGGGGCTGGCTCTACGGGCTGGGCTTGCTACCAGGCTCCCGCAGTGGGGGCCCTGAAGGCCGCAGCGAGGATGGGGAGGCGCTGGTGCTGTGAGAGGGGGGCTTGCCCCACGGAACCAGCTCCTATCCGCACGCGTGCGCGGGCACTGCAGCCCATCCTGGGTCCCGGTGTGCAGGTCCAGCCTGAACCGGGGTGCAAAGGGGCCTGCAGCTGCGGGCAGATAGCTGATCCCCGCTCCCCGCTCTTATCTGTCTAGGTCAACGTGGAGGTGCTGGGCCACCATGCTCAGCCTCAAGCTGCCCCAGCTCCTTCGAGTCCACCAGGTTCCCCGGGTGAGGGGCTCTGCCCACCAACCCCCACTGCCCAGGAGCCAGACTGGGTCAGAGGTTCTGGCAATTGCCAGGGAAGTCTCTCCTGCAAACTGGCTCTAATCCCACCCCACGCCACCCCTTCCTGTTCACAAGCAGCCAGCCCCTGAGCCCCTCCCCACAGACCCTGCCCCAGAGCGTCTGGGCGACCCCTCCCCAATCCTGCGCTCACACCCTTGCAGCTCTTGCCCTTCGCATCTGCGCTTGGCTTTGGGGCCAGCCCATCCCCTTCGCCCCTGCTTGCAGCGGTCCCCCGCACGTGACCACCCCCCTCCCCCCAGGTGTTCTGGGAAGATGGCATCGTGTCTGGCTACCGCCGCCCCACCAGCTCGGCCTTGGACTGTGTCCTCAGCTCCTTCCAAATGACCAACGAGACGGTCAACATCTGGACCCACTTCCTGCCCACCTGGTGAGGGGAAGCACTGCGCCAGAGCCTTGAGCCCAGAGCGGGTGCCCCGGCGGGCAGGGCCCTGAGCACATGCCCGCCGCAGGTACTTCCTGTGGCGCCTGCTGGCGCTGGCCGGCGGCCCGGGCTTCCGCGCGGAGCCGTACCACTGGCCGCTGCTCGTCTTCCTGCTGCCCGCCTGCCTCTACCCGTTCGCGTCGTGCTGCGCGCACACCTTCAGCTCCATGTCCGCCCGCGCGCGGCACATCTGCTACTTTCTGGACTACGGCGCGCTCAGCCTCTACAGCCTGGGTGAGCCGGCGGCGGGAGCGCGGGCGGGCCGCGGGGGAGGGGGAGGCGCGCCCCTTGAGCCTCAGCTCCAGCGCCCCCACCTCACCACAGGCTGCGCCTTCCCCTATGCCGCCTACTCCATGCCGGCCTCCTGGCTGCACAGCCGCCTGCACCAGCTCTTTGTGCCCACCGCGGCGCTCAACTCCTTCCTGTGTACCGGCCTCTCCTGCTACTCCCGGTGGGTCCTCAGGCCCCGCAGGTGGGGAGGTGGAAGGGAAGACACAGGGATCAGAATGACAACATGGCCGTTTATTAGGACCCAACTGTCAGACCCTCCATACCTGTGCCACCCCCCACCCCCAGCTGTCACCCGTAGTCCTCCCAGCCACCTCAGAGGCAGGTGGCTGTAGCCCAGGTGCATCCACAGGCGGGCATGTGCGCGAGGGCTCGCTGGGCCTGCGTCCTTCTCAGACCCCTCCCCAAAGCCAGTGACAATGCGCGGGTCCCCTACCCCTGCCTTGCAGGTTCCCGGAGCTGGAAAGCCCTGGGCTCAGTAAGGTCCTCCGCACGGCCGCCTTCGCCTACCCCTTCCTGTTTGACAACCTCCCGCTCTTCTACCGGGTAAGGGAGCCTGGGGCCCCTGCCCAGGCCTCCTAGAGCCCGGGCCCAGCCCCCAGTGCGGCCATGCCCGCCGCCTGCCTCCACCTCCTCCCAGATCCCAGCCGCATCCCTGCTTCCTCTCCCAGGCCCCTCCCCACCAGCCCTGCTTTTCTTTGGCCAGCTCGGGCTGTGCTGGGGCCGGGGACACAGCTGTGGGCAGGAGGCGCTGAGCCCCAGCCACGGCTATCACCTCCTGTGCGCACTGCTCACTGGCTTTCTCTTCGCCTCCCACCTGCCGGAGAGGCTGGCGCCTGGACGCTTTGACTACATCGGTGAGAGTGCATGGCCCGGCCAGGGAGGGCCAGGGGTGGGGGGTGGGGGTGAGGATTTGTTTGCCTTCCAGGCCCGTCCTCTAGGGCCCCCTTGGCAGGTCGCAGCGCGACTCAGGGCAGGGATGTGGGGTGCTTTGTGCAGATCTGATCATCCCTTCTTCCAGGGACTCTGGGTTTCTTTTTCCCAACTGACAGGGGAGTCGGGGGCCCAGAGCACGAGGAGGGTCCGGGCAGTCCTAGAACGAGTGTGCGTCCGACCTGCCCGTCTCCCTCCAGGCCACAGCCACCAGCTGTTCCACATCTGTGCGGTGCTGGGCACCCATTTCCAGCTGGAGGCGGTGCTGGCTGATATGGGATCGCGCCGAGCCTGGCTGGCCGTGCAGGAAGCACCCCTGGGCCTGGCCGGCACAGTGGCCACGCTGGGCGTGGCGGTGGCCGGGAACCTGCTCATCATCGGTGTCTTCACAGCCTCCCTGCTTCGGGCCCCTGCCTCCTGCCCCCTGCTGCAGGGGGGCCCGCCGGACGGGGGTACACAGGCCAAGCAACAGTGAGGCCTGAGGAGAAGGAGGCCGGGCCCCAGGAGTGGGGAGGAGCCCAGGTCTGAGCCTGCAGCCCAGAGCGGCCGAGGAGGAGAGGAGAGGGCAGAGGGGGAGAGTGGGAATCTGAGGGCACCGGCAGGAGTGGAGGGGGCCCCCGGGGGGCTCTTGATGGGAGCAGGGAAGTGCTGAGGGTCTGCGAGGGGAGAGGAGGGGGATGAGCTGTCCATACCCACAGCCTGTGGGAGGTAGGGATGAGGGGTGGGGCCCTTGTTTCTGTCTCTCCTGGAAGACTCTGCTGAGCCCAGGGAAGAACTAACACGACTAACCCAGGCCCGCCCATCGCTGGCTAACCCTCCCAGAGGCTGCCGCACACCTGCCCCAGCCCCCAGCAGCAGCTCCTCCAGAGAGAGAGATGTGTTCATCTGTCCTGTCACAGCTGTTGGGGTGCATGGTGGCTGGCAGGAGGACCGAGGCAGGGGAGGGGTGTGCTAGACTCCAGGAAGCCCCCAGTCCGCTTTCTCGAACAAAGCAGGTGCAAATAAAGTAATAAGGGGGGGAGCGGGGTTCTGGGGCTGACAGGGCCCGCCCTTCCCACGCCGCCCTCCCCCGCCCACAGACTGGACAGACACGGGCCCAGTTCCTCTTCTGGAGTTTATTGGGAGCAGCTGGAGAGCCGGGCCGGCCTGCGGGCAGACGCCCTAGACGGGCCCGTAGAAGCGCTGGTAGGCGTCCTGCAGGCCCACCTGGTCGGCCAGCTCGTCGCAGTCCGGGTTGAGCTCGCACACCTCCCTCTTGGGCTCCAGGGGATCCGGGTAAGGAGCCGGAGCTCTGGGAAGCCCGACAGTGGCATCAGCTCCCCCCACCGCAACGTGCCCAGCCCCCGTCCCCGAGTGTCCCACCCGAGCAGTGAGCCTGCCCCGCTCCCCGCGCCGCCTGCTCTCACCCCTGCCCGTCGATCAGTTGGCGCCGGGCTCGCTTCACCACCTCGCTGCCCTCCCTCTTGGACACGAAGGCTGCAGGCAGAGGGGCAGGGGTCAGGTGGTTGTAGGCTTGGGAGGCCAGTGGTGGGGGGGGAGCGGGACTGAGGGGAGCAGGCTGCAAGGGGCGGGGCTGGGGGCCCCTAGCACCCCGGCCTCGTACCTGAGCCTCTGCCAGACTCTGCACCGCTGGGCTTTGCCTCTGCAAAGGAAAGGAGCTGGTCAGCCCTGCTCAGCCCTCGGGCCCCCTGCTATTCCCTCCTCTCCCTCGGCGAGGTCGGACTGGGGACAGACTGAGCCCGCGGCAGGGTCTGCCAGCAGAAGGGGTGAGCAGAGGTGGCGCCGCGAGTCTCCCCCAGGCAGCCCCTCCTGGAGTGCCGCCTGGGTAGGGGTGGGGACGCTCACCTGCCTGGCCAGCGAGGCAGAGTGCGGCCAGGGCCAGCAGGGCGACAAGAGTGAGGGCCCTCATGCTGTCGCTCTGTGCGTCCGTCCGTCCGTCCGTGGGTCGGCTGCTGCTCAGGACTTGGCTGGTCTGCCCTTCCAGCCTCCAGCACTCTTTATAGCCCCTGGGCTGTGCCCCGTGGGCAGGAGGAGGGCAGGGGCTGGGGAGGGGGATGGCAGGCCTGCCCGGGGTGTGGGCGGGTCATGGAGGAGTCTGCCAGGGCTATTTGGGGGGCATCCGCCCTGGCTCTGCGGGCCAAACCCCAGAGGGTGTTGTGGTTGGGAGCTGCGCTGCCTGGGCAGGGCCCCAGGAGTGCTGCAGAGGGTGGGCCAGTGGGGACAGCCAGGCTCGCAACACTGCCTGAGCCCCTGCCCCATGACCCTGGCCCAACCCGCTCAGCCTCAGAGACCCCCGGCCCGGCTGGGTTACAGGAAGAGCCTAGAGAGGAAGGGGGGCTGTGAGGTCTAAAATAGCTTTGAGCAGAACTGGGATCCAGCAATCTTGTGGCCTGTGATTTGCACTGTTGGCCCCCTGGGCAGGAGCCAACCCCCAGGGAGGAGCGCCTGCCAGTGCACTTGTCCCGCCAGCCAGTGAGACAGCCAGTGTGGCCTGGGCTGTGGAGGGGGTGGCAAGACAACGAGACGGGCCTGGTGTGAGACAAGGGCAGCCCCTCCGGGACAGAAGCAAGCGGTGGTCCACTTCTAGCAGGAGACACTAAGGGAGAAGGCACTGGCCGCGAGCCCGCCCACTGACAGCGGGACCGCAGAAGTTCCAGCACCAGGAAAACCCTGAAAACCGCCTCCGCAAAGGCGGCCCCGCCCGGCCCGGCCTGGCCCGGCCGCTCCAGCCCTGCGCTGCGGTCCTCGGGTGCTGCCCTCAGCGGGGAGACACAGGTCCAGTGGAGAAGGGGAGAGGAAGTAACCCGAGAGGGGAGGCGTGAGACCCGGGCGCCCGCGGTGCTCGGCCCGTGGGGAGGGGAAGGGCCTGTGTCAGGGATAACACGCTGACCCGTGGGGCCAGCCAGCCGTGTCTGATCCCGCAGGATGGACATTAAAGTCTCGCTTTTGCTGTACTCTGCGTCCCGCGTCCATGCCTTGGGTTTGGGCAGGTGAGGGTGCCTCCCACAGCCTCGGGGCTCTTCCGGATCTCGGTGCCCTCATGGAGTGAGGCTGGGGTGGACAGGGGAGACACATCCCACCCGATTTTGGGTGGCCTCCTCTGGCCAGGTGTTCCATCTCCCCATGGAAGCCAGAGAGAAGCCTGACACCATCATTTGGAAGACAGCAAAGGCCACACACACACAGCACTGTGGCAACCAGGTAGGAAAACTGGACTGAGTACTGCCTGGGCAGTGGGGCGTGGCTGCGTGTGCGACGCAGAACCTGCGTAAGAACTGAGCGTGCAGCCCGGATCCGCGGTCTGTGTACAGGAAGCAGCCAGAGACACGCAGTGAATCTCGGGTGTGTGCGACACCTCCGGGGTTGGGCGCTGTGTGCATCAGACAGCTTGACACGGTGGCGAGAAGCACACCATTCCTGCAGCTGTCCTCAGGAAATCTGTGCTCATGAAATAAAAGGCTTCTTTGGAAAAACAAAAACAACAAAACAGAAACAAGAGCTCAAACACGGGAACCAGTGCACAAGTAATCCCCAGTGCGGACAAGAGTTCTGGCCTAAGGGACCCAGGAAAGGGGGAGCGAGGGAGCTCTTCCCCTGACAGTCCACGGGCAGACGCTGGGGTCCTCCGGGGACGTCCCTCAGACCAGGGACAAAAGAAAGCCCAAGTATTGCCGTTTTATCGGCCTGAAGACGCAGTCCATAAGCCCTCGGCCTTTTGTCCCTGATCTGGCTCAGATGAGGGCTGGCTGTCCCAGGCTTTAACCCTCCACCCAGGAGGAAAAAGACGATGCTGCCTGTTGGGTGAAGAGGAGGAGCCCTGTCACAGGCCGTGTTCCTTAGTTAACAAACAAAAGCATCCCAGAGTAGCAGAAGAGAATCGGAGGCGGGTTCAACCAACCGCTCCCTAAATCCAGATCCCAGTGAAAGGCCAGAATTACAGTAATGGAAAAGAGACTCAGAAAACGTGCCAGTCCCCTCCCAGACGCGCAGGGTGTCCCCTCGGGAGGCCCTGGGACAGGCTGAAGCTGTAGACTGTGTCTGCTCGCTGACAAGCGCTGCACTCAGACACGTTAGAAGAGAACTAAGCCTCTTCCTTCCTGGGTGAGCCCAAGGGTTAGCCCAATGCTCAGGACCCGGTTGTCATGCCTGGGCTGGAATGAGTCCGTAATACAGGACGGGAGGGGACGGTGAGGAGGCGGCCATGGCCACTGGGGAAGGGACAGCCTCCTGGACCGGGGTTGGTCAGCAGACCAGAATTCCCACATGTGGATCCGCACTGGGGTCAGACGGCTGCAGGGGCGGAGCACAAATGCAGGACCTCTGGGGCCTGGGAGTCCACTCCCGGGTCACGAAAAGTCCCCAAGGCATTTGAAATTCACCAAGAGGAGGAAGAGAGCCCCTGAGCTTTCTCCCAGACTTGAGGCCAGATGAGAAAGTGCTCCGGGTTAGATCCCGAGGACCCGGCCACCGGACAAGGGCTCTTAAAAGTTCACTTTGTAACTAAAACCTGGCCTGACATAAAAGAAAAGAAAGACAACACCGGAAGAACTACTGAGGGAGCTCACAACGTTTGTGTAAGGAGAGAGGAGGAAAAACAAAAACAAACAGCGAAAATCTCTGCCTCTGGTCTCCCAGGCAGGAGCGGTGACTAGGAGAGAGCAGACACAAATTCTTCTAAAAGAGGACAGGAAAATACTAATCCTACCTTGCAGCAAAGAGATATGAGAACAATGCAAGGAAGAACCCTGGGAACCCTAAGTGGATGTTACAAACACAGGCTGCCCTGGATGCGGACAAGAGGAAGGGATGACCCCCATAGGACCAGGTCCCACCAGCAGCCCTGGGTGCATGCAAAGGCGGCACCTGTCCTGTCGGGACACAAGGACTGTTTTCCTTGACACCCTGGCTGCTTGCCCTCCAGACATGCCAACCGGAGGGCCCAAGGGGGAATGGCAGGGGGAATGGCAGGGACTTCCGGGTCCAATCTTTGAGAAGCTAATCAGACTAGGACCAGAACAAAGAGAAGGGTTGTTCCTAAACATGCCCGAGGCAGGAATCGACCTCTCGTGCTGAGGCTAGGCATAGGAGTAGGAACACAGGAGGGGCAATGAAAGGACCAGTGGGAAGACAGAAGAGTGGACCCCCTGGTCGGACGGGGGAGGTCACAGAGGGGCACTGCCAGCTGGACACAAGCGGCCAGGAGAAGCCTGCAGGAGACAATGCCCCACCTCCCTCCACAGAGAGGGGTTCCAGCCAGCAACAGGATTAACCAGGGAAGGAGCCCTGCCTGTCACGTCTCCCTAATGCATCCCAGAAACCAGTGCAAGACCCAAGAACTGTAAACCACACTGCCAAGCTCGCCACCCCATGGTACCAGACCCTTCCACCCTCCTGAGTGGAACCCCGGGTGAACACGAATGGCCCAGCGCGGCAGACTTAAAACGTGCATCGTGGGCCTGGTCCTTAGATTCAAGGAGCAGAGCCTCCTGGCTCCCGGATGGGCAAGCCCCGACACCAGAGGAAACTGCGACACATTGGCCGGTGTTGCCACGAGGGCTCCTGGGAGCCCCACCCTGTCTGGGCAGGCGTTAGGAAGGTCCTGGAGGAATGCCCCCTTCCAGGGAGTCAGCTACTCCTGTCTGCAGGTGATCGTCTCCTCTCGGGAAAAAGGGATCACGGGAGCAAGTCAGATACTGGGGACGGCTGATCGGTGTGGGAAGCGGAGACTAAACCCAGGAGGAACACCAGATATCGTACGTCAGGCCCTGCCCAAGACAAAACAGAACTGAGAACAGTTTTAGGGCTGACTGGCTATTGCCGATTGGCTCCAGTGTCCCCAGGACAAAGGCTGTGTCTCACAGATTAGAGGAGAGCCCGATCCCCTGCGGCGGTCTCCACAAGAAACTCAGGCAGTGGAAGGGTTAAAAGGCCCTTCGTACAGCACCACGGTCCTGGTCCTGGCTCTTGCGGCTCACCTGTGGGAGACAGCACACTGGGCGCGGCCCTTGGGGCACTCACCCGGGCCGGGAAAAGACCTTTTCTTCTAGAAGGCCTCAAGCCCATCCCTAGGGGCCGGCTGAGTAGTACAAGCACGACCTCCGCAGGGCCCTGGAGGTGAGCACTCCCCATCAGGTCAGGGAGAGCTTGAGTCAAAAAGCTGCGAGGTGGTTGCCAGACTTGAATCCTGCAATTCAAAGCCATATTATTAGAAAGGGATGATTGAGGGGCCGGCGCTGTGGCGCAGTGGGTTAAAGCCCTGCCCTGAAGCACTGGCATCCCATATGGGCGCCGGTTCTAGTTCCGGCTGCTCCTCTTCTGATCCAGCTCTCTGCTGTGGCCTGGGAAAGCAGCAGAAGATGGCCCAAGTCCTTGGGCCCCTGCACCCATGTGGGAGACCCAGAGGAGGCTCCTTGTTCCTGGCTTTGGATTGGCACAGCTGCGCCCGTTGCGGCCATCTGGGGAGTGAACCAGTGGATGGAGGACCCCTCTCTTTCTCTCTCTACCTCTCTCTGTAACTCTGTCTTTAAAAAAAAAAAAAAAAAAAGTAAAAACAAAGGGATGATTGAATCCTAACAAGACACCTGCCTTAACCATGGAAGGGAAAGGTGAGCCAACAAACACCACGGCTGTCTGGTTATCGCAGACCACCAACCCGAGGTCAGGCCAGGTCCGAGGGTCGCCACTGCATGACGGGAGGAGGCTGTTAGTGGACAGATCGTCCCCAGTAATAGAAGGAAAAAGACAGGATGGCTATGCTGCCTCTGACAGCAGCCCGCGATCCTTACGTGAGGGTGCCGGATGACCTAGCAATGGATGGGTCAGCTCAAAGTTGTATGCTCTCAACCGAGCTTTAGAAGTCCCTGAGGGCCTCAAGGCACTGTACGTAGATTCTAGACGTGCCTATGGGTGGTGCATGTCTTTGGAAACGTCTGGACAGAGGGGGCCTTATAAGCAGCAGGGGAAGGAACCAGCACACGGCAACTCGCCAGGCCAGCTTTAACCAGCCTCTTACTCCTAGCCGAGGTAGCTGTAGTTCACGTACATTGCCATCAGAAAGGAACCACCATGGGCGCTGTAGGAGCCTGCCTTGTGGAGGAGGGCTGCTAGCCTCCATAGAAGAAGAAATGAAATTTACCCAAGCCCAAACAGCCCTAAAGCAACATTAAGGCCCTGCTTTAGGAAAGAGAGGAACTACACAGACTAGGGGCCACACAAACTGAAAATGGAGAATGGGTGCCCCCTGTTGGGAGAGAAACGGTGAGAACTCACAGAGGGAGGCACTGGGGTCCCCAGGCTCCGTGGGATGTGATACTCAGAACCTATGGATGCGAGGGGGCTGTGGGGATGCCAGAGGGTAGATAAAACCAAGCAGCAGGGGGAAGACCTGCTGGACTAAGGCCTTTTCAGAGCCCTCAGGTGGGTCCACAGAAATGCCGAGGAGGAAGGCTGCAGTGGTTGCTAGTAACCATGGGGCATTTTTCTGGCTGGGTGGCAGCCTTCCCCCTCACAAGGGCCACCACCAGAAATGTCATCAAGATAGTACTAGAGCCGGCGCCACGGCTCACTAGGCTAATCCTCTGCCTTGCAGTGCCGGTACACCGGGTTCTAGTCCTGGTTGGGGCACCGGGTTCTGTCCCGGTTGCCCCTCTTCCAGGCCAGCTCTCTGCTGTGGCCCGGGAGTGCAGTGGAGGATGGCCCAAGTGCTTGGGCCCTGCATCCCATGGGAGACCAGGAGAAGCATGTGGCTCCTGGCTTCGGATCAGCGTGGTGCGCCGGCCACAGCGGGCCGGCCGCGGCGGCCATTGGAGGGTGAACCAACGGCAAAGGAAGACCTTTCTCTCTGTCTCTCTCTCTCACTGTCCACTCTGCCTGTCAATATATATATATATATATATATATATATATATATATATATATATATATATAGTACTAGAAGAAATGGTCTGGCCTGGTAGAAAATGTAGAATCAGACAACGGAAGTCATTTTGCATCAGTGGTACTGTCAGGGTCGTGGAAAGCCTGGGTTCGCAGTGGAACTATCCCAGGCCCTGGCGTCCTCCGTCTTCAGGAGAGGTAGAGAGGATGAAGCCAACTCTCACGAGGCAAATTTCTAAACTGACCTTGGAAACGAGGCTGCCTTGGACCAAGTGCTTTCCAACCGCACTCCTCAGCGTTAGGGTGGCTCCAAGAAGGGCGGTGGGGTTGTTCCCTGTGAAACGTTAAATGGGCTCCATTACTTGGCTAGGGCGACCGACCTTCTCACCACAGAATCCGAAGGCCAGTTCCTAAGAAATTACATGCTGGCCACGTCCTCCACTTTGTCATCCTCAGGTTAAAAGGACTCCTTGCATTCATGGATAAAATGAACAGGAATAGATCTGAATAAAGCAAATCTGCATAAATGGTAACCAGTAGCTCTACTTTTATTTTTTATGTTGCTTAACTGTTTTATTTGAAGGAAACCTGTGTGATTTAAAAAGTTATAGCTTTTGCAACTTTATTACTGGTTATATACATTTGGCCACTATGATGTGCAAGCAATTAGAAAAAGTCAAGTATTTGCTTGTTTTTATAGTAGTTTGTTCTTGTTAAAAATGTTCATATGATAATGTCTGTAAACAGCACCACTTTGATTACAATAGATGTAGTGTTGTAATAAACTGTTTAATGGGGAAAAAAAAAAAAGGACTCCTTGCCCAGGCGCCTCCTCTAGAGCTCACTGATCGTCTCAGCCAACCAGGAGCCCTGGTGTAGGTGAAGACAGGCCAAGAGGACAAGTGTGCACCACGCTGGGAGGGCCCCTACGGCCCTTGACCACTGAGACAGCTGCAAAGGGGTGGCCTCACTGGACTAGAGTTAAGGGACCAGGAGAAGAAACTCCGGGACAAAGAAAAGGGGGCCAGTGGGAGATGCGCCAGTCACCAGAAAAAAACCCTTAAAGAAAACCTTAAAAAGACCAAGCTCCAGTGAAAGTACCCAGTCGGCTTCCTCCTTGGAAGCTGTTCTGGCTGGGGTGCTGAAAGCACTTGTAAGCCCAGGGGTATAGGGGGACCCATATTGGGGGGCACCAGAATACCCACCTATGTTGGTGATCAATGGTACCAGGACCCCAGCTCCACAAATGACCCACTGGATGCTTGTCTAGTCTTACCCTGTGCAACCCTGGAGAAGCAAAAACAATGACCCCGAGCAGATCAATATCTGCACCGAGTTTGGGGATCCCTGGTGGAAGCCTTGTGGGGATGAGGTTGCTGGACCGCTAAATACCGGGGTAGACAGCTACGCACCCCCAGGCTGAGTCACCAAGACAAACTTCATAAGGGCTCCACGCCACCCAGCTGTCAGGGCCGCCAGTGCAACGCTATACTATTGATAACTATTAATAACCCAGCCACCCTGGATCCAGACCCAACGGCAGCCACTCAGGAGCATGGGTTAGCGGCAGAGAGCCGATCCTGTAGGATGACTGATTCTCCAATAAATCAAAACTACAATCTCGCCCCAGGTGACTGCTCCTCCTTCAACCCCGAGGAGTACCCTAACTCACCAAACCAAGACCCTAAGAAGGCAAAGACAAGTGAGGTACAGGACCTGAGGCAAACTCTAGAATTTGAGACAGGATATGGAAGTGTGGATGCCTGGGTTGACTGGGTGGAATTTTCAGTACAACAAGAGTGACTGTTATGCACGTGCGGCAGGACGTGGGAACCACTACTCTTGCCTCTCCAGGTCGGGGCGGAGTGCACTAGAGCGCAGGAGAACTTTCCATCCGCACCAGCATCCTCAATGTGACTGGTGGGCCGGACGTCGGCAACTGCTCGGCCCTCCTGCCCTTGGCACACCCGGGGCGGACGTCTGGCGGTGGTGGGGAAAGAGGAGCCTCCGCAGCCAGCTGCCGCTTATTGCACTGGGACTGGGGCTTTAGCTCAGTTGCTTATTCCCTTCACCCTGGCATCGCATAAAATAACTAATAACAACTGACGAAAACGAGAGCTCTAAAGGGCTCCTCTGACCCAAAGACAGTGATTCAATCGGAGTCCCAAGAGGAGTCCCCAGTGAATTCGAAGCTCAAAATCAGATAGCCGCAGGATTCGAGTCAGCACATTAATGAAAATGCTGATTGGATTAATTGCATTTACTGTAACCGGCAAAGTTTCAACAGATCAGAGATGCCCTCCAAGGGGCAGCCAATTGGACGCCATCAGTTGAATGGCTTGGGGAAACCAAGATATGATACTTGTGAAAAGAGAGGTATCCGTGTTAGGTGCACAGTGTTGACTGTTATTCCTAACAACTCTGTCCCCAGTGGAACCACTGCCAAGGACACACGGGGCCCGACTACTCTGGATAATGAATGGAACTGACGACCCACTATGAGCTGGCTGGAGGGATGGTCTGGACAATGGAAAGGCATGGTAGCTCCCCTCCTAACACCCCATCACTGCAGCCATAATGGAGGCAACTGCCCACCAGCAAATGCCCATGGCGTCCAACAACAAAATTTACTGTTACTAGAAACTAAACCAACAACGTTTAGAAAGATTTAAAAACCAAAAGACACCAAAGTAAAAATGAAAATGGAACCAAAAGTATAAAAACAAAATTGTGAGAAACACTCAACAGTCCATTGTCAATATAAAATAGTAATGTGGAAAATTACTGGCAGCTAGCCCGCCCAAGTAGTCCACGACATGGCAACTGCAGGACTGCAAACACCAGGAAAATCCCTCAAGTAAACAACTCCAACAACTTCAGCCAATCAGCTCTAACCCCATACACGTTCCTTGGGCATTTCTGTCACTGGAGAAGCAGAAATTCCAGTGGGGAAGGGGAGAGAAAATAACCCTACATGGGAAGAGTGAAACTGAGGTGCCATCCAGGAAGACTGTACACCCCGCAGTACTCAGCCAATGAGGAACGGGGAAGGGGCCTGTGTGTGAGGGGATAAAACGCCGACCGACCACAACGGATCCAGGTGTGCCTGCTCTCAGACGACACCAATCTGCAAGTCTCTTTCACCATACTTTACGTCCGATTCATTCTTGGGGTTTGGGCAGGTGAGAGTGCTTCCCACAATTTGGGGGGCTCTGTTTCCCACTTCCATCCTTGGGCAGGGCAAGGTGGCCATGCAAGGCACAGGACTGGGAGGCCCTAGGTGGGGAATAGTAGGTGGGGCAGCAGGGCCTGTGGTGGCAGGTGGGGGAGTGCACCTCTGGCTCCTGAGCCTCCAATCCCCCTGCCCTTTGCAGCCCCCCAGTGTTAATAAACTTGGGGGGACCTGCCCCTCCCTCTAGTCCCCCCACTAGTGAGAAGGAAGTCCTCTGCTCTACAGACAGAGCGCTCCACCTAAAAAGCACCATCCCACACCTGAGAGCCACCACTGCCTCAGGTCAGCTGGAGGGGAGGGCGTCCTGACGCCTCCTACTCTGACCTGTGTCCTCCCTCACCACCGACCCCCTAGACCTGCTGCCAGCCTGACACACACTTCAGACCCGGATGGGGCAGGCTGGGCAGGAGCGAGGCCTCCGGCTGCTTGAAGGCTGCAGCTCCATGGTGAAGGGACAGGCAGAGGGAGCCAGGGCCCGACACAGGCTGTGGCGAGGTGGGTGTCACGCAAGGGCCTTCTCGGTGTCCTTCTCTGTCCCCAGTGCCCCTCACAAGACCAAACGAGCAAGGCTTAGGTTGTTTGGGTGACGTCCCTCCAGGTAAAAACCTCTGCTCCCCACCTGCACCCTCTGGCTGGCCCTGGCTGGACATGAGTAGTGAGAAGCCAGACTCAGCACTGGTCACACCCCTGGGTCCCACCTTGGTCTGTGCACCCAGCCATGCAGGGCCCACCATGGCCACCTTCTCAGAAATAGCTCAAAAGGCAAAGGGCTGGGTGAGCTGGACAGCGACCCACCTTGGCACATGGTCCTGACCTCAGGGAACCCAGGAGCCCCAGTCTGGCACAAGGGGCTCTGCTGCCCACTATCCACAACACCATGGTCAAGTCCACCCACTGCTGACCACTGCTGAGCCGGCCAGGCCTGCAGGCTCTAGGAGGACTGTGACTGCAGCCAATACTCGGGAGCCCAGGAGCAGCCGGGCCAGAGGAAGCGTCCTCACAGATTACAGAGCGGCACAGGAAGTTTATTTACGGATGTGGGGAGAACATGGCAAGGGCCCTTGGGTTGGCCAGCAAGGGGGCAATCAGTGGAGACTGAAAACAGACTCCCTGAGCCAGGTCCCGGGAAGCCTCAGGCACCGGCAGGGCTGGGGGTGGTGCGGGGCCGAAGCTGGCGGAGGGTGCACATGGGCCTGATGCCAGGGTGGAGCTGGCCAACCACTCTCCAGTTAGAAGGGAGTGGGGGGATCTGAAGGGAGTGCTCTGTGTGACCCAAGGGAGCCCAAAGGCACAGTGGCGCTGCTCTGGCCTGGCCCTGCAGCCAACGCCATGGCTGCCCAGGGCCTGGGCACCACTTCAGCTGTCCCCAGGGGAGCGTCACAGGCCCAGCACACTGCACCACAGGCCCATGACCTCAACTGCCCTCTGCTCCTGGGCGGGGCCGTCTCCTCACTCGGGCTCCCTCAGCACAGCCAACAGCTCTCTCTGCTCTCTGTGCAGAGCCTGAAATCAACGGGAGACAACAGACAATCAGGGACAAGAAAACCCAAATCCTTTCCCCACATCTCTGACTCCAGGCCTGGCTTTCACCCGGGACCACAGGGATGAGGTCTGTGGCTCATGTCAGGGGCCTTGTGCGGTGTGTTAGGACGCAGACTTGTTAGGAAGTCCACACCATCGGCATGGCATCATAGCAGGCTGGGAGTCTTGACCACCCTGGCTGGGCCTCCTGAGCAGAACCTGCCTTCACAAGCCCCCAAAGAGGCCCCCAGGTCCTGGGACCTCATCCGAGCTTGCCAGCACAGGCTGCATTAGATGAACTTCCAGCTGGGCTACAGACATGGAAACTGATGGCCTCAGCAGCAGACCCACTTCAAAAACAATCTGTAGGGCCGGCGCCGCGGCTCACTAGGCTAATCCTCCGCCTAGCGGCGCCGGCACACCGGGTTCTAGTCCCGGTCGGGGCGCCGGATTCTGTCCCGGTTGCCCCTCTTCCAGGCCAGCCCTCTGCTGTGGCCAGGGAGTGCAGTGGAGGATGGCCCAGGTGCTTGGGCCCTGCACCCCATGGGAGACCAGGAAAAGCACCTGGCTCCTGGCTCCTGCCATCGGATCAGCGCGCTGCGCCGGCCGCGGCGGCCATTGGAGGGTGAACCAACGGCAAAAGGAAGACCTTTCTCTCTGTCTCTCTCTCTCACTGTCCACTCCACTCTGCCTGTCGGTAAAAAAAAAAAAAAAAAAAAAAAAAAAAAAACAATCTGTAACAGCTGTGGGTGAGGGGTGATTTTAAAAGCAGGGGGATTGTGGGCTGGTGCTGTGGCATGGTGGGTTAAGTTGCTGCCTGTGGCACCGGCACCCCATATGGGTGTCAGTTTAAGTCTCGGCTGTTCCACTTCTAATCCAGTTCCCTACTAATATGCCTGGGAAAGCAGTGAAGGATGGCCCAAGTGCTTGGGCCCCTGCAGCCACATGGGACACCTGGAAGAAGCTCCTGGCTCCTGGCTTCGGATCGGCCCAGCTCCACCCATTGTGGCGATTTCAGGCGTGAACCAGCAGATGAAAGCTCTCTCTCTCTCTCTTTCTCTCTCTGTTACTCTGCCTTTGAAATAAATAAATAAATACATCTTAAAAAAAAAAAAAGATAAGAGTAGGGGGCTTAGTTTCCCCTCTTAAAACAGAAGCACTGAACATCAGGGCTGGTGGGCTCTGGGGATCATTATTAGAGACTGGAGGCTGCCGATGGAGTGGTGACAGCAGCAACAATTTGCCCGCACTGGCCAACAGCAGGGCCCCAGAGTGCCCGAGACGCAGCTCTGAGCTGTGAAACCTGCCCCAGGACCAGTCATGACGTGGAGAGACTGCAGGGGGAGGGGACAAGAGGGAGCAGAGCAGGCCACCAACTTTCCACCTGCTGCCACCTCCCCCAGACTCGGGGCCCTCGTTTACGCCAATGCAGGACCTTGGGGCCACAGCTAACTGGTCCTGGGAAGAGAAGGCCGGGGGACCTGGGAGCCGTGGACGTGGGGAGGCTGAAGTCGATATTACGTGGACAAGTACATGAAGGCAGTAGAGAAGCCAAGGGTGGTGCCTCCACGGGGACCTGCAATTAATTTTCTTTTGTTTTCTTTTCTTTTCCCCTTCTCTTCCATTCTTCCTCCTCCCTCCCCCTTTTAAGATTTTATTTATTTGAAAGACAGAGAGGGAGAGAGAGGGAGATCTTCCATCTGCTGGTTCACTCCCCATATGGCTAAAACAAAGAACACAGAACTCCATGTGGGTCTCCCACATGGTGGCAGGGGCCCAAGTCCTGGGACCATCTTCTGCTGCCTTCTCAAGTGTATTAGTGGGGAGCTGGATTGGAAGTGGAGCAGCCAGGACTTGAACCTATGCTCATTTAGGATGACTGTATTGCAGGAGGCGTCTCTACTCATACAACGCCAGCCCCTTGAACCTGAATTTCAAGCACATGAGAAAACTCAACTCCTCCCTCTGCAGCCACACTCGCTACCTGCATTACCCGGCGTGCTCACCCTCTCCTGCTTATTCACCCAGATTGGCCCCAAGCGGCCTTGGGCCCCTTTCAAAAGTTAAGTTCAGGGGCTAGCATGTGGCAAAGTGGGTTAAGTCACTGCCTGCAACACTGCATCCCATCTTAGTGCTGATTCGAGTCCTGCCTTGTGCGGGAATGGAGGAGGCCACTAACTGGGGGCTCTTAGAGGACCTCTGTCCCCTAGAGACACGAGAGGAAGCAGGCAGGGCTGCACACTCACCTGAAAGGCCTGCTGCCGGGCCTGGATCTGCAGCTGCAGCTCCTCTACCTGCTTGCGCCCGGCTAGGATGGCGTCTGCCAGCTGCCGGTTCTTGGCTTCCTGTTTCTGCACGTGGTGCCGCAGGGTGTCCCGTTGTTGTAGGAAGTAGGGTGCCATGATGCTGCACAGGTCTTTCTCTGGGATCCCACTGGGGCGCCTGGGGGGCCACAGGGAACAGGGAGGGAGGGAGGGACAGGTATGTGAGAAGATTCTACTTCCAAGCCCAAACGGTGCTATTCCCGCCTGGAGTCCCAAGTTGGGCTGGCTGCCAAAGCCTCTCCTGTGGCCCCTCTTCCTTCCCAAGCCCTGCTCCTGGTGGGGATGCTCACCTGCTGTTCCCCAGCTTCAAGGCCAAGGGGTCACCTCCCCCTTTCTGCCCCTAGCTTAGCCTTCCTAACGACAGCCCGTAACTCTCCGCTCTACCACGCACACTCCCGTCTAACGCTCCAGGTCAGACGTAAATTTCCAGCCCCTGCCTCTGACCCGATGGCCAGGTGTCCTGCTGTGCCTCCTCCTCAACAGACTGCGAGCTGGAAGGAGGGAGGAGGGAAGGCAGCAGGATGAGCTCCAGATGGGGTAGGTCCTGTGAGAGGGCCCCGAGCCCAGGGGGGCCCGTAAGCTTTGGCTGATGTGAGAAGAGAAGCAAAGGCAGGTCCGAGGAGCTGACAGTAAGCAGAGGTGGCGGCGGGTTCTTTAAAACATTCTTTTTAAGGGGCAGGCATTTAGCCTCGTGGTTAAGACACCAGTGGCGATGCCTGCATCCCAGATCAGAGCTCCTGCGTTCCCCATCTGCCTCTAGCTCAAGCTAAGGTAGACTTTGGGGGGTAGCAGTGATGGTTCAAGTCACTGGGTTCCTGCCACTCAAGTGGGAGACAAGGGTTGAGTTTTCAGCTCCCAGCTTTAGCCTGGCCCAGCCCAACCTATTATGGATGTTTGGGGAGTAAACCAGTGGATGGAAATTCTCTCTCAAATCTATTTTTAATATTAATTTTTTTAAATAACATTTTTTTTCTTCAGTTGTAAAAATTATTTTAAGTATTAAGGTCACAGAGCATAAAAAATTTGGAAAGTACAAAAAAGCTACCTACTTTCTCTGGCCTGGGGTCCTCGAAGGGAGCGGGGGCTGCTCTGGCCCTGGCAGCTTCTCATGTCCACTGCGCCCCAGGCCCCACCCCTGCACCTTGCTCGTGACCCGCCAGCAGCTGGGCTGCCCACCGGGTCAGCTCTGCTCACTGCACCTCACACAGCATCAAGCACATAGTAGCTGCTCCCAAAACACTTGTTGATGAGTAAGAACCAGAGGCCCGGCCAGCCTGATCCACCAGTGACTGCAAACCCCACTCTTCTGCCTGCTCTTGTTGCCCTCCCTCCCCAGCTCCCACAGGCCCAGTGGCCCCAGGGAAGCTTTCGCCATCTGCCCTTAAGCCAGCCCCAAGCTGGGCTCTCATCTCTACTTGTCCCCGTCAAAGGGTCCCTCTCAGAGGCCATGAGTCCCTGTCTCATGGATATGGGTCAGTTACTGTTTTTTTTAAAACAAGAATCCCAACTCTCTGATTGTATATATTTCTTCTTCCTCTTCTCTGACTGTACATACTGTACACTCTTTTCTAAGATTTTTATATATGTATTTTTTTTATTTGAAAGGCAGAGTTACAGAGAGAGAAGCAGAGACAGATAAAGAGAGCTCTTTCATCTGCTTGTTCAGTCTCCAAATGGCTGCAATGGCTGGGAGCTGGACCAGGCCTAGGCCAGGAGCCAGGAGCTTCTTCTAGTTCGCCCAGGTGGGTGTAGGAGCCCAAGCACTTGGGCCATCCTCCACTGCTTTGCCAGGTGCATTGGTAGGGAGCTGGACTGGAAGTGGAGCAGGGGCCAGCACTGTGGCATAGCAGGTAAAGCCGCCACCTGCAATGCCAGCACCCTATATGGGCGCTGGTTCAAGTCCTGACAGCTCCTCTTCCGGTCCAGCTCTCTGCTGTGGTCTGGGAAAGCAGTAGAAGAATGGCCCTAGTCCTTGGGCCCCTGCACCTGCTTGGGAGACCTGGAAGAAGCTCCTGGCTCCTGGCTTTGGATCAGCACAGCTCCGGCCATTGCAGCCAATTAAGGAGTGAACCAGCGGATGGAAGACCTCTCTCTCTCTCTCTGCCTCTCCTTTCTCTGTGTAACTCTTTCAAATAAATAAATAAGTCTTTAAATAAATAAATAATTTTTTTAAAAAAAGGTTCTGAAAGGCCCCTCCTGCCACCTCCCCATCCCCGTCCTCACCAGGCCGGCTCCTTGCGGTCTCTGCCTTCTTCCACAATTTTATCCAAGGAATTTAAGACAGCTTCAAGGTTCCCTTCCTCCTTGATTTCACAGATCTCCTCCTTTAAAGAGAGGAGAGAGCTGTAATGATGCTAGGTGAGCACACGGTGGAAATACGCTAAAGAGCCAACAGCATTTGGCAAGCTTTTGGCTAATTTCCATTCTGTGTCTTTATACTTTCCCAAACCTTCCAACTCTTCTACATGTGGCTTTTATAACTAAGAAAATGAAATATAAAATGGGAAACATTTAAAAAGAGCCTGTAGCAAGCCTCTCCCCTGTCCACCATCTTGGAAGGCCGCAGCCAGACTCCGGAGTGGGGTGGGTTACACTGCAGAGCCCTCAGTCACTTAGATGCGAACAGAACTGCTGCTCTTCTGCACACCCCAGGGTTCAGTTCATCTGCATTCAAGCAATGATTAACACCTCCAGGTGCAGGGCACTGCACCAGGGGCTGGGGGTACACAAACAAGTGAGCCCTAGGCGCCCTGGCTGAGCTCACAGTCTGCAGGGGCAGACAAGGCATAAACACATCATTACAACACAGCACCACGAGAGAAACACGTATTTAAGAGCCCTAGCTTGTCTGGAGGAGCTGCGGCCTGCTGGGCACCGAGGGCAGTTCCAGGGGTCGAAGAATCAGGGCGGCAGAGGGAGAGGTCCCTGCTCTCAGGGGACTGACAACGCAGAGACAGAACCTAAGCCTAGGGAGTCTCGGGGCTTCTTGTCACTCACCCGGATAGACGCCTGCAACTGAGTTATAAACTTGTCATAGATTCGCTGTGTCATGTCAGGCTGCAACTGGTAGAAGCGCTTGTAGCAGTCGCTGAATCTCTTGTAGCTGGCAGGGAGGAGAGAAGACAGCGGGAGAGGGTCAGACCCACCGCGCTCAGGCTGCGGGGGCACCTCTGCAGCTGGACCCGAGCTCCGCACTCTTCAGGGCCCTGGCAAATCTCTCCTCCAAAGTCAGGATGGCTCAACCTCATCAGCACCCGCTCTTCTCAGTAGGGCCCCCGCTGAGTTCGTGTTTGCTGCTTACAAGTGGGTCATGGTCAGCCACGTCCTTCAACTTGACCATACACAAAATCACCAGGAGGGTGATCTGCTGAAACACAGACCACTGCCCCTCTCTCCTCCTGCAAGTTTCTAACAAGCTCCATGGGCGGCTGGCACTGCAGCCGGGGACCACACTTGGAGGACTTCTGGCCGTTCCAGTCCCCTTGCAGGGCCTGGATTGGGATAGAGTGTGTGGGCTCTGGGAAGGAGTACCAAGCTCCTAAGAAGAGTCACAGAGGAAGCAAACGCTGCCCTTCCTGTGTGACACTACTGCATACAGGTGATGCCTCCAGTGGCTGGCAACCAGGGGCCCTGGCCTGAGGTCAAAGCCTATGTCAACCTGCAGCCACCCTCACCTGGGCCTTTCTGTTCTGTGAGATAATGGATTTCTACTGCTCAGATCTCCCTATCACTCGTAGCTGAGAGCACTTGCTGATACAGCCCTTGTAGCTGGAAGAATCAAGAGGCACCCAGTATAGGGGCCGGTGCTGTGGTGCAGTGGGTTAAGACGCAGCTTGGCAGTGCTGGTATCTAGCCTCCCATAATTCATACCAGTGGTAAACATTCCAATTAGCACACCCCGCAGGTTAACTGTGGGTACCAACAGACAACACAGAGGACAGGAGCTGGGTGTCCTTTCACCCTTCAGCAGAGGCCCGGATCTCTTGCTTTGCCCCTGGTTCTACCAGCCACGCAGTCTGTGGCTTCAGGGAGGATGTGGGGGACATATGATCCTGACCCAGCGGGGCTGGAACTGAAACTGGGTAATTGTGGCCTGAAGCTGAACTCGGCTCGGACACGGGAGATCCTTTTCCTCCTCCCAGCCCACTGGGCAGGCGGAGGGTCTGGGTAGGCACATTGCTCCTCAGAGCTGGTGGCCGAAAGGAGACAGAGAGGCAAACTGCCCACCAGAGCTGCCGGTGAACTCTTCTAGGAATTCCAGGAAAGTGCAGGACATCAGAAATACGCACATGCATGCAGATACACAAGACACGATTATTTAGGACAGTGAGGCAAGCAAAGAGCCAGATTCGGGGCCAATGTCAGCGAACACAGGCGGCAAGTGACTACCCCGCAGAGCCCAGGCAGCCTTGGAAACGGTGCAGATGGCCTGCGGGTTTCCTGAAAAACACACTCCAGGAGAAGCAGGCGAGCCATGGGTTTTAGAAAACATGTATGCCTGTGTGTGCCAAGTATGGACCTTTATCTTCTCCTGCAGCCTGACAGACCCCTGTGGCTGCAGGGCCAGGGCCCAGACGGTGTGTGATGTGCAGTAGCATGTGAGCCTCTCCACGCAGACTGCCTGCTCCCAGCCACCCCCGCCACGCGGGGCTCCGTGGGCAGAGGAGCACGCCCCCCCGGAACCTTCCCCACCCCGGCCATGATGGAACAGTCTCCTGGTCTTGGCCTTCCCAGGGTACACAGGAAGTCATTCAGCTAGGTGCTCTCTAAGTGTACAGGCTTTGAGCACACACCGCCTGTTCTCTTGCCCGGGTTCAACTCCTACCTCCACCACACATCAGCTGAGCGGCCCCAGCCCACTTCCTGTCAGCACACAGGTACGCTTACCTGTCCTCCTAGCGCACTGAAATGCAGCAGGTTGGCTCCGATTTTGAGGGGTCTTAAAGGAGTTGACAGAAAGTGCATATTATGAAACAACTGGGCCTGAACTTCAAACACTTTTGCACCAAAATAAACTTATCTTTTAACCTCATCTTTCACGAGCTTCTTGAAGTACCCCTGTATTGTTATGATTTTCAAAAGCACAGTCCTCAGTGTCCCCCTGAGGCGGGGAACAGTCAGTAATCTGACTTCCCAGAGGAGAGCCGGGCCCTCTCTGGGGAAGGCAGGTGCCTGGGAGACCTGCAGCAGCCCAGGAGGAACTGCCATCAGGATTTGTCCATACACTTAAGCTACACTTATCGCCAATGAAAGTAACTTTTATTTACTTTTTCATCTCCTTGAAAGGCAGTGACTCAGAGGGGAGACAACGAGAGAGATCTTTCATCCACTGGTTCACTCCCCAAATGCCTGTAACAGCCAGGGCTGGGCTAGGTCAAAACCAAGACCGGGAACTCTACCTGGGTCTCCCAAGTAGGTGGCAGGGGCCCAAGCACCCGAGAGCTATCATCTGTTGCCTCCTAGGATGCATCGGCCCAGAGATGGATCGGAAGCCAAGCAGCGAGATCTTGAAGCAGCACTCCACCAGGGACACGGGCGTCCCAAGCAGAGGCTTAAACCCACCACACTCGCCCCTCCAATAACAGATTTTAAAAAAATGTTTTTAAGTACAGAATCAAGTTCTGGTGGCTTGCCCATCTGTTTGCTTACATATGCAGACAGATTTTGTGGGACTCCACAGAAAGATAACAGAGACACCGACAAGTAAGCATGTGCTGGGACAAGCAGTTTCTAAGGGGCTAAGGCAGCCAGAGAGGGAGCCAGGCTGGCTCGCCTGCCTGCTTCTCGGACCGCTAGGTGCTGCCCAACCGGACAGCTGTTTCACAGGCTGCCCAGCAGAGGGCAGCAGTGACTGGCACGGCCAGCCCAGTAGCATGGGCCGCTGGCCTAGGGCAAGCCAAGCAGAAGCAGGATATGACAGAAACTCATGCTCTTCATCCCCCCACAGCCAACGACAGGGCTGCCCCATTTTGTTAAGAAACATTTCTCTGGGGCCAGTGTTGTGGCACAGCTGTTCTACTTCCACTCCAGCTCCCTGCTATGTGCCTGGGAAGGCAGTGAAAGATGACTCAAATGTTTGGGCCCCTGCACCCACGTGGAAAACATAGATGTAGTTCTAGACTCCCGGCTTCAGCCTGGCCCAGCCCTGCTGTTGCGGCCTTTTGGGGAGTGAACCAGCAGATGGAAGACCTTTCTCTCTGTAACTCTGCTTCTCAGATAAATATCTACCTACCTACCTATTTTTTTTTTTTTTTTATTTGACAGGTAGAGTTATAGACAGTGAGAGAGAAACAGAGAAAGGTCTTCCTTCCATTGGTTCACTGCCCTAATGGCCACTACAGCCGGTGCTGTGGCGATCCGAAGCCAGGAGCCAGGTGCTTCCTCCTGGTCTCCCATGTGGGTACAGGGCCCAAGGACTTGGGCCATCCTCCACTGCCTTCCCGGGCCACAGCAGAGAGCTGGACTGGAAGAGGAGCAACCGGGACTAGTACCTGGCGCCCCAACTGGGACTAAGAACCCGGGGTGCCGGCGCCACAGGCGGAGGATTGGCCAAGTGAGCCACGGTGCTGGCCATACCTACCTATCTATTTTTTAAAAGAAACATTCCTGTGGCTTTTTCTCTCTCCCCTTTCTCAGTCCTGTGTAAATTGAGCAGTCCCAGGGCTGAGAGGGGTAGGACAAAAGATCAGAAACTTTTCTTAATGAAGTAAGGGGAGAATCTCCAGGTCGGATGAATGGTTTTTTCATAAAGTTACCTTTTAAAAGTTTATCTCTGTGGCCAGTGTTATGGCACAGTAGGTTAATCCTTCACCTGCAGTGCTGGCATCCCATATGGGTGCTGGTTCGAGTCCCATCTGCTGCTTTTCCCATCTAGCTCTCTGTTGTGGCCTGGGAAAGCAGTGGAAGATGGCCCAAGTCCTCGGGCTCCTGCACCCGTGTGGGAGACCTGGATGAAGCTCTTGGCTCCTGGCTTTGGATCATCCCAGCTCTGGCCACTGTGGCCATTTGGGGAGTGAACCAGTGGATGGTTCCACTCTCTCCCTCTCACTGTCTATATAATACTACTTCTCAAATAAATAAATAAAATCTTTTAAATAAAAGTCTATCTCCAAAAGTAAAATGAAAAAAGGGAAAAGAGATAAATAAAAATAGAAATAAAAATCGATGCAGCAGGTTAAGCTACTGCTTGGGATGCCCACATCCCTTGTCAGATCACCTGGGTTTGAGCCCCAGCTACTCCACCTTACAGTCTAGCTCCCTGGGAGGCAGCAGGTGATGGTCCAAGTGCTTGGGCCCCTACCACCCATGTAGGAGACCTGGATGGAGTTCCTGGCTCCTGGTTTTGGCCTGGCCCAGCCTCATCTATTTTGGGCATTTAGGGAGAATGAATTAGTAGGCAGAAGATCTCACTGTTTCTCCTTCCCTCCCTGTCACTCTGCTTTTCAAATTAAAAAGAAAATTTTTAAAAATTAATCTTAATTATGTCTTTAGGCTATTTACTCTCTTGGGCTAATGTAAGCTTTTGTTGTTAGGGTCTTACTTTTTAAGTTTTCCCTCATTTTACAAAGGAAGATCTGAAATTGTGACACATTTTCTGAATAAGAAGGGAGAAACTTCTGATGTGATAAACATTAGCATGAAGATAATAAAAATACCAACAGGATAATTATATTCATTTAACCATTTGATGAACACCTTACTAAGTGTTAACACTTAATTGAGCACAGACTACCAACCCAAAGATGAGAAAGTATGATTCCTGCCCTCAAAAGGGGCACAGCTCAGTCCTCAGGAAAGTGAGTACGTGGCGGCTTAGGGAAGGCGTGGGTGAGAGACAGAAGCAGGCACTGACGAGCGGACAGAAGAGCAGCAGGTACGAAGGTTGGGGCACACGTGTGCCTGCAAAGGTGCAAGAACAGCACATGTCTACCAGGGACTGACTGCTACCAGGCCTGCTGGAAGCGCTCAACGTGGAGCAACACCAAATCCTCCTCTATCAGGTGGGTCCTGTTACCATCGCCTCACTTTTCAGATGAAGAAGCTGACGCAGAGAGAAGCTTGCCCAGCTCAACCCTGGCCATGCTGGCTTTCGGGACCCGAGGC